GCACACTGACCGGCCATCCAGATCTTGTCCACACTGGACCCCCATCAAACTACATCTCCCACATGTCTCTGAGGTCAGGGTGGGTGTGGACGAGAGGAAACGGCTCCTATGCAGATCTGGCACCAGGGGTGATGTAGCCGGGGATGGGCGTAGAAAAGAGGAAGAGGCTCCCACACTGCTCCGGGGCCAGGGGCGATGTGTTCAGCGTGGATGGGAATGAGCTGCTGGGTTGGAAGCCACACCGACACTGCCAGAGGTGAGATTAACTGCTTGCAGTGTCATCCATCAGTGCCCAGAAGTGTCACCCATCAGTGCCCAGCAGTGTCGCCTGTCAGTGCTGCCCAGCAGTGCCACCTGTCAGTGCTGCCCAGCAGTGCCACCTGACAGTGCCCAGCAGTGTCGCCCATCAGTGCTGCCCATCAGTGCCACCCATCAATGATGCCCAGCAGTGCCGCCGATCAGTGCCACCTGTCAATGCCTCCAGTTGGTGCTATCAGTCAGTGCCGCTTATCAGTGCCCATCATTGCTGCATATCAGTGCATCATCAGTGCCTCCTCATCAATGTCCACCAGTGCCGCCTCATCAGTGCTACCTATCTGTGCCGCCTCATCAATGCCCATCAGTGCTGCCTATTAGTGCAGCCTCACCAACGCACATCAAAGAAGAAATATTACCTGTTTGCAAAATTTTATAATAGAAGCAAAGAAAATCTTTTATGTTTTTAATTTTTTGCTCTTTTTTCATTTATAGTGCAAAAAATTAAACACCCAGTGGTGATTAAATACCACCAAAAAAAGCTCTATTTGTGTGAAAAAATGAGTGTTGAATGACCGCACAATTGTCATTGTCAAGTGCAACAGCACTGAATGCTGAAAATTGGTCCGGGCAGGAAGGGGGTAGAAGTGCCTGGTAGGCAAGTGGTTAATTGCAGTGTTGGCACTTTGAAATAAAAAAGTTGGTTTTGTGTTGCAGTTTTGGGCACTCAGACTCAAAAAGGTTCACCATCACTGACCTAGACTAATCATTGGTCCAGAAGAGTGACTGAGGCTGTGTGCCTGGGTGATATTGCACTTACTGGGGAAATAACTTTGAGACCAAAGCAGCGGGCCCGTTTTTTTTTTTTTATATACTTTAATGTCATATTCACTTTATGGGGTTGATTTACAAGGGAAGTTAAATGAGGTGAACTTCTACTGATAGCCAATATCTAATCACATACAAGCGAAAATGCTGTGTTTTTTTTTTTCCTTGCATGTGATTGAGTGCTTCTTTCAAAGTGAAATTGCACCACATTCATTAAGCTCTAGGGAAAATTTTCTTGCACAGTGCAACTTCCTTTGCAAAATGAACAGCTATTAGCAAACTGTGAATTGTTTCTTCTTTTTTGCATGTGTAAAACACATAAAGTACAAGACTAGTTAAATAAGAACCAAAGACAGAATAGAAAAATGTTAGTAGACACCAGGGGCGGACTGACCATTTGGAAACTCCGGCACTACCCGAGGGCCCGGGGTCAGTAGGGGGCCCCATGAGATGCCCCTGGTACCTTTTTCATAGGCTTTTTTGAGTTTTGGCAAGGACACAGGGGCCCCATGATCCCCTATTGCCCGGGGGCCCCATGAGTTGTCAGTCCGCCCCTGGTAGACACAATAAATTGGTCAAATGGAATCTGTCTCTCCTACCCAGGAACCTTTTTCATTTTTCTCAGCATCCCAGCCTGTAGCACATGCTCAGTGAACATTCCTGTCATCTGTAAAATGCTGAGGAGTGGAACTTGGTGTTGCATGGTGCAACTCAATTTAAAGGGAAACTCAGACTTTCATCTTTCACCAGGGTGATACATTTGACAAAATATACCTTCTTGATGCTAATGCAGGCATATTTGCTTACTGAAAAATGTCAATAGATTTGACAATTTAGGTTGATGCCTCTTAAAAAGTACTGTAGTGCTGTATTGCTGAAAAAAACAGTTATTCATTCCTTTAAGTCACTCTCGGAGTCCAGTTACTCCCAAACAGAAAATTGGATATATGCAATTGTATTTGGATAAAAAGCACTACCAACAGTACATATGTGGTCGATGAGTCACTGTAGAATCAGAACACAACCTTCTGAAGACAATCATGAAAAAGGGTCTTGCATCTGCCCTAGTTAGGTTACAAAGGATAATGATATCCTACAATATGACACTGTAGTGTCTTGCAAGGTTAGGAACATGATTCTAGTTGCTGATACCCTATATTCCATTCAAAGACAAGGGCGCTATTGAGAATGCATTGAATACTCAAGTGCATTTAATTATGTCCTGCTTTCCCAGTTAAGGTAAGATAATGATAAAACTGAAATGAACTGAAAAATGCCTTACTAGCCAAAGTTCATATCCTCCAACAATAGTAAGTTAAAGGCTGGTTGATCTTATATCCAAAAGAACTGAATTGAAGCTAATGCACCAAGGCACATGTCCTCCAACAGTGGTAGGTTTTGGAAATATCCAAAAGGGTTGCTGATTATGAGTGCTCTGAGCTGGAAAAGTTAAAGGCTGGTTGATCTCAAATCCATGAGAATTGAATTGAAGCTAATGCACCAAGGCACATGGGAGCTGAGAAACATAGAAAAGAGTTGAGGATACATTCTGCTGGCCTTGAATGAATGCTTAAATTGAGAAAATGGAGCTGAGATGTACATTTTGCTTACAACAGAATCCTTCTAACGCAAGGGAATCTATAATCCTACATGTAATACTCTCTCAGCCATGGCAAAAAGCGCATCTGATCTTTCTGTGCTAGACAATGCAAACTATATTCTATCTGTAGACCACTGTCAGCGTAGAACTTACAGTTATAGCAATTCAAATGGACAGACTAAAAAAAATGCTCTCAAAGGTAAAGCAAAGTGGAGATTCATACATTGCTATGCCTAAAGAATAGCAATAACTCCACTGATGCCATGTTATCATTAGCTATCCAGCTATCCTATTCTGACACCTTAACCCTTTGAGGACCAAGGGACGTATTTATCTCATGTTTGTAATTGCGTATATCATCTGATTAAGAACTTAAAACTCTTTTTTTTTGGTTTGAGTCAAAATATTACTTCTTATCAACAAACAACAAATGGATCTAGCTTTTTGCCAATTATTTTCATGAAATGGCTTAGTTACAGCAACTGAAGTGTACAAACTTTAAAAACAAAAAAAATTGATTCTTTTGGCATTCCAAAACCTTACGGTCCTCAAAGGGTTAAAGCGATAGTAAAACAAAATAAATGGTCCCCGTGCAGGTTTAATTCATAATACCTAATGCATAATCGTTGGCAAATTCATGCAGGCTCCACCTCCGCAACATCTCCAAAATACGTTTGTTCCTAACCCCAGACACCACTAAACAACTCATTCACTCCCTTATTATCTCACGACTCGACTACTGTAACTCCCTCCTCACCGGCTTACCTCATCACAGGCTATCCCCGCTTCAGTCTATCCTGAACCTAGCGGCCAGACTCATCCACCTTACCAACCGCTCCGTATCCGCCACCCCCTCTGCTAATCCCTTCACTGGCTTCCGATTGCCCAACGCATAAAACTCAAACTACTAACGTTGATGTACAAAGCTATTCATAATACTGCCCCAAACTACCTCACCGACCTGATATCCAAATACCACCCAACACGTACTCTTCACTCCTCACAAGACCTCCTACTCTCTAGCTCCCTGGTCTCCTCCTTCCATGTCCGACTCCAGGACTTCTCCAGGTCTTCCCCCATCCTCTGGAACTCACTACCCCAAACCATCAGACTGTCACCTACCCTCCTCACCTTTAGGCGCACCCTGAAAACCCATCTCTTCAGGGAAGCCTACCCCGCACTCACCTAACAGCCGATCTCCTCCACTCCTCCTACCACTCCATCACCCACAGCCATTTTCTCCTGTACCACTATCCCCTCCCTCCTATATTGTAAGCTCCAAGGAACAGGGCCCTCCAACCCCTCGTGTTTTGCATTGTTACTGTATTGTCTCATGTACTGTCCCCCACTATAATGTACAGCGCTGAGCAAAGATGTTTTGGCGCTATATAAATACTGTATAATAATAATAATAATGGACTAGTATGCACTGCGCACTAGTAGATTATGACAGACTTACCTACAAATGGAGCCTACCAGCACTGTGCTGTAACATGTCTCCCTGATCCTCGACGGGTTCCATGTTCTCCTGGTTTCCCTTCCAAGTTTTGTATATTTGGCCACTCAAATGGTCAGGCCACTCCCACGCACGTGCATGAATGTCACATTGCCGCAGCACACAGAGCGTGCCATAAATATGGCATGAGCTTCACATGTGTGGCTTGGATCACATTACTCACTGACAGGCAAGGGGGATATTTATGACAGAAGAGACCTAGCTTATCTTCTGTTATAAAAGTCAGCAGATTTTTTAAATCTTCACCTCATTACCACTTTAACCACTTCAAGTCCGGACACTTTTACCCCCTTCCTGTCCAAGCCAATTTTCAGCATTCAGAACTATCACACTTTGAATGACAATTGCGCGGTCATGCATCACTGTACCCATATGAATTTTTTAGCATTTTTTTTAAACAGATAAAGCTTTATTTTGGTGGTATTTATTCACCACTGGGATTTTTATTTTTGTTTGCTATATAAATGAAAAAGTCCAAAAATTTTGAAAAAAGTGTTTTTCTTATAAAATTTTGCAAATAAATAATAATTCATCATAAATCTTGGCCAAAATTGATTCAGTTATCTTTTTAGTAAAAAAAAAATAACTGAAATTAGTTTATAACCAAAAATTATAATTTTTAATTTTCTTTTTATATTTTAATTTTTTTAAATATTATTTATGTTATGGTGACGCTGTACTACTTGTGGGGGGTGATGAAAGATTTTTTTTTTTTTACACTGATTGCTTTTACACCCATAAAAGCTGTAAAAGCAATCATTTCTCCTTCTCTCTGGCTGCATTCTTGCAGCCAATGAGAAATACTGTGTGAGCTGTGATTGGTCACAGCTTGTCACATGGTACAAGGCTGTTGTGAATAGCCTTGTACCATGTGACCTCTGTGATCATTCACATATTTCACACGTAGTAAGCAATGATGTCAGAAGTGACATCTTGCTTACTACTGTGCATGTGATCACTGATTGGCCAATAGTACTCACCTGGCAAAGTCGCACGACTTTCAGGTCATAGTAGTGTTAACTTAAAGCGGAGTTCCACTTACACTGTCAAAAAATAAAAGTCAGCAGCTACAAATACTGTAGCTGCTGACTTTTAAAAAACAACCCCTCACCTGTCCCATGATCCCGCGGTGTCATCCCCGCAGCTCGTTTCACCAGCTGTCTGGTGTTTCAGGCCCCAGCATATTCAGTGTGGGAACTGAGCTGTGATAGCTTGCGGCTTCACAGCCTGGTGCCTACTGCACATGCGTGAGTAGCGCTGCGCTTCCTGAATGGTCCCGTAGTCTTCTGGGACCTGTCACGTGTCCCAGAAGACTACGAGAGGGAGGACAACCTTCGCTTCCGATTGCCTAGGAGATGACAGTGGAAGTGGGAGCAGGTACCTGTCAAATTTGGGTACCCGCTCCCCCCCCACTCCTCAAAGGTGCCAATCCTTAATGGGATTAAGGATGGTGGTGTTTGCCACCTCTTGGACCTCTCTTTTTGTTTACAATCTACTTGTTGACTGAGTGCCGATATTATAGCTTTTGCTATATTTTCCGGTGCTCCGAGATATGGCTCTTACACAGCAGCTGCCTTGCCCACTCCTCCTCTCGACTAATTATTCACAGAAAGCTTTGGATTTTGTGAATGGGTTTATAGAATTCAAAGTGTTGTGTGATTGAGCAAGGAGAGGAAGGGAGGACAATGTGGCTGCAAACAACGCTACGGCTGCTATGTGGGACAACGAAAGCTGGGGTGTTGGAGTGGCCGAAATATGGAATTAGTTGTACTGTCCAGGGGCGGACTGACAACTCATGGGGCCCCCGGGCAATAGGAAATCATGGAGCCCCTGTGTCCTCTCCCACGCTCAAACCACACCCAAAAAAGCGTATGAAAGGTACCAGGAGCATCTCATGGGGCCCCCTACTGACCCCGGGCCCTCGGGCAGTGCCCGAGTGCCTAAATGGTCAGTCCGCCCCTGGTACTGTCAGTGCTCAGTGAAACCATACATTGTAAAAAAAATTGTAAAGAAAAAGAGAAAGCTCCAGGTGGTGACATACATCTTGTTGCCCTTAAACAGTAACTCCACTTTTGTTGAGAAATACAAATCTCCCTCAATATACATTTCAGGAATTTTACCAAACTTTGTTGCAGATTCCTACTTTCTGGAATAATTGCTATTTGTCTATGTCCATATTCAGAGTGAATCTGTATGAGAGTGATTATATAATTATTACTCAGGTGCTGCACTTGCAGGGGTTTAACCTCCTCGGCGGTATGATTCTTTCCGATTTTTTGTGCTGAAAGCGGTACCATTTTTTTGCATGGAAATATGTTGTTTTTTATTGTAGGCTGTAATTTTTAGGAATAACTCACTGAAATCTGTCTGAACAAGAGTCTAGTAAACATCCCGGATAGGATAAAATTTGAAACACGAAATCATAAATTATAATTTAATAAATAATCATAAAAAATAATAATATAATAATAATAAATTTAATTCAATAATATAATCAAACCGAAAACACTGAAATTTGAAATACAGAGGCAAATTTGCACATCGCTGAGCAAAGTCGCAAAATCGTTTTCAGTGTTTGATGATGAATTTCCGTCAAAGAATCATTATCACTCAATTCTGCAAGTGGTTCTGATTTACTATCGCTGTTCTCTAGCCGGTCTAAAACCGCTTTTGACGTAAAGGGACGCTTTTTGGACGCCATGGACTTTTCTAAGTTTCCAGGCAGAAAGAACATTCACAATGCAGGCAGGGCACAGGACAAAGCACTCGGGACAAAATATATGTGAAATGCATTGAAACAGCAATGACAGCAAAAATTACATTTTTAAAAAATTTCAAATTTCCCGCCGGTTCCGGCGCCCGTACGTCCCGACGTCACAGGGACCAGAACACAGAAGCCGGATGCCGGCATCGGCCGGAGGAGATGGCCGGGGACGCTGCAGGGGACACATCGCGGGAGCGAAGGACAAGGTAAGTGCTGCAGGGACCCCCTGAGCAACGCCGCAGGGTAAGCCGAGTGTAGCTCGGGGTTACCGCTTTTGGTATAGAAATTTTACCCCGAGCTACACTCGGGATTACCGCTAAGGAGGTTAATGAGGAAAGTGTCAGGGTCTGCATCTCTTTAGACACGATTTCCCTTTTTGAGTATCTCGCCTAAAATTACATCTTTGTTGCAGAGTATGCTCAAAATCTGACTTGTATCTTAGTGCAGACTTCTGGGAAAATCAGTGAGCCAATCTCACAAGCATGAAATTACAATTCTGGGTGGTGTTCTGTATACCCTCTGTGTATGGAAGGCCTTCAGGTATCCATATTGAAATGGTACTTTTTCATAACAATTACAGCATGACTTGTATTGTAAATGTATACTTATTGCATATGTTTTTTTGTTGTATTGTACACGTATAATTGTGGGTTTTTTTGGCTATTTTTTCCTATGAAGATGGAGTTACCCTTTAACTCCATATCTTTTCAAAATTCTTCATTAACATTTATTTACTGCATGTTGACAATATCTGAATATATGACTGTTTATAGCTTGGCCGCAGTTCTCCTTTTCCTAAATTATACGTAGTGCATTATATGCTAATCGTTTTCACATACTGTATAGTATATATACTGCAGTTTTTTTGCTAATTTCTAAGGATTGTATTTTCACCCTAGTCCCTTTAGTGCAGGGATGTAGCCCTTTCTTCCTTTCCAAAAAAAAAATGACCTTGTTGTATCCCTAAGTCACTGCCCAACTTATTCAGACGGGAATGAGGGTTATCTTTTAGCGCACAAAGTTTTAAACAAGATACGTGCCCTTGTCATACTCTCAGCCATAATTTAATTAATTTCAATATATAACAGTCCAAGTTAGTCCATCAATATTGTGCCAAATGATGACTGCTGAAGAATGATAGACAACAGTCTACATTAATAATAGGAGTACTACAAAAATTTTAATTACTTAGGGACCTGCCATGACTGAAGTATGGGAAATATCATTACTGGCAAGCTCTAAGGCTGTATGCATAAAAGTTACATGAAAACTGAAAGATATTCACTCACCAGCCACTTTATTAGGTACACATGTTTAATTGCTTGGTAACACAAATTGCTAATCAGCAAATCACATGGCAGCAACTCAATGCATCTAGGTATCTAGACATAGTGAAGACAACTTGCTGAAGTTCAAACCGAGCATCAGAATTATTATTATTGTTATTATTATTATACAGGATTTACATAGTGCCAACAGCTTGCACAGTGCTTTACAATATAAAGGGAGACAGAACAACTACAATACAATCAAAACAAAAGGATTAAGAGGGCCCTATCCCATAAGAGTTTACAATCTAATAGGGTGGGGCAAGTGGTACAAAAGGTTATAACTGTAGGAGATGAGCTGATGGAAATGGTAAATAACTATTCGGAGGTGTGAAAGGCTTCCCCGAAGAGATGAGTTTTCAGGGTCGCCTAAAGGAAGCCAGAGAATGTGATAGCCGGACAGATTGAGGTAGAGAGTTCCAGAAGATGGGAGTCTTTGGTAAAGGCCTGGAGATGAGCATGGGAGGAGAAGACAAGGGAGCTTGAGAGCAGGAGATCATGAGAGCAGTGGAGAGGACAATTTAGGTGATATTTGGAGACAAGATTGGTGATGTAGCTCAGGGTAGAATTGTGGATGGCTTTATATGTTGTTAGTATTTTGAATTTATTTCACTGGGCAATCAGAAGCCTGTGGAGGGACTGCACTGAGTGGTTGGTAAGGTTGAAGATCTTGGCAGCAACATCCATGATAGACTGAAGAGGGGATAGCCTATGGAGAGGTAGGCCTATGAGAAGAGAGTTGCAATATTCAAGGTGATAGATAACAATGGAGTGAACAAGTAACTTGGTTTTATTGGTTAAAAAGGGGCGGATTTTAGAGACGTTACGGAGGCGAAGTCTACAAACTTTTGACAGCGATTGGATTTGGAGCCAAAAGGATACATCAGAGTCTAGGATTACACCTATTACCCTGGCTTCAGGGGAGTGACTGATAGTTGTATTATTGATCTTGATGAAGAAGTCATGTAGGAGTGCACAAGGGAGAGGGAATATTATCAGCTCAGTTTTAAAGTGATATAGTTTAAGGAAGTGGTGCGACATCCATTCTGATATATCAGTTAGTAAGTTAGTAATGCGAAAGGAGACTGAAGGAGTGAGGTGAGGTGAAGAGAAATAGATTTGGGTGCCATCGGCATAGAGGTGGTATTTGAAGCCATGGGAGGTTATCAGGTGACCAAGAGAAGAGGTGTAGATAGGGAAGAGAAGAGGTCCAAGAATAGAGCCTTGGGGGAACCCTACAGAAAGAGGGAGTGGAGAGGAGACAGAGCTATAGGTAACACTGCAGGAGCACTGTGACAGGTAGGAGGAGATATGCAATAGCTGAATCTTGGAGACCAAGGCAGTGGAGTTTATTAAGAAGGAGCCATGGTCAACAGTATCAAAGGTCGCAGAGAGGTCTAGTAGTAAGAGTATGTAGTAATGGCCACTGGTTTTAGCAGTTAGTAAATCGTCAGTGAGTTTTAGTAGGGCAGTTTCTGTGGAGTGCTGCTAGCAAAAGCCAGACTGTGGGGCGTCAAGAAGGCTGTTTTCAGTGAGGTAGGTGCTAGGACAGTTGTAGACTAACTCTTCTAGAAGTTTAATGAATGGGAGCAAGGAGATGGATCTTAAGTTGTTCAGGTTGGTGGGGTCCAATGAGGGCTTTTTAAGTATGGGAGTGATCTGTATATGCTTTAGGGGGGAGGGGGAGGTGCCAGTAGAGAAGGAGAGATTGAAGATGTGAGTGAGTGAACATAGGAAAATGGGCAGACTTGTTGGAAATGATACAAAGGAAACAGTGTCTTATGTCAATATGGAGCAAAATTAAGACAGTTCTGAAGGCAAAAATGGGTCCACCTCGGTACTAGTCAGGTGTACTTAAT